GTAAATAATAATCTAATTATCTTCATTTAAAACTACTACTTGTTCAAAGTTTAACAGCGAGACAGGCCCATGCTTGTATTTAATTTTATATGTGACCACAAACTGTTCGGCTTCTTACTTTAATTACTATTTATTACAGAATAGATAGCGAGAAGCGTAGCCAATCATATTGCAGCAATTATACTTGAACGCTACTAGATTTATGCTAAATTCATATATACCTTGGTAAACACTGAGTGCCTAAATTTTCACCCTCTTTTAAGTTATAAAATCTTCCATATTGAATCAGAGGCATCCCATTCGTAGAATTTGAGAAATGAACCGCTGATTTCAAGCAAAGTTTGAAAGAAGAGTATTTCAACGGTTAAAGCCTGAGAAACTGCTCTTAAATTACACGGAAAAAAGGTAAAACAATGAAATGAAGGTAAGAAGTTTTTGACTTGAACTACCGTGTAATTTTCATCACTGCTGGCTTTGTTAAAACCTAAACGTAACGCTCACAATTGAAGGTCTATCGATGTAAATGATGAAAGGTGAAAAATGAATTATCAATTGACTTAAAATTGCAGCTAAAATGAATCATTGATTGAATAAAAAAGCAATTTTTTACATAGTTAATTTTTTAAATTCGTTAACTTATGTGTTGCGTCAGAGATCATTTGAAAAATGTAGCGGATCGTCAACTATAACCAGGTTAATTAAAAGTATATGAAGTGTAGCGGCAAATTTTGTCGAAACACTGACATTTGGAGCCAAGCCATTCATCTATGCTTCGAGAACCAAGCCTCGAAAAGTCAGCGTTTTCAAATTTCTTGGTAGTCTACATTTTCACTAACCTTCTGCCTTGAGGATCAGTTCAGACCAGATAAATAAAACAGAATAAAAAAAAGAAACATTCGCCGCGATGGCCCGTGAATCGACCATCGAGGTTTTTTAGGCGAAAATATCTAAAACCGCCGTTTTTCCCTCAAAGCAAACTGACTCTGCTGTCGTTAAAACATCTCCTTAATCTCGTTGATTTTTATTGACTGATCAATCCGGCTAGATTATCCTACGTCAGGTGCTAACTACGTTTTTATACATGCCAACTCTCCCGGGTGACCAAAAACCACCAGATAAAAGGAAGTTTGGATCAGTTGCCCAGAAAAAACTAAGATTTAAGCCCCATATGTTCCAAAATTCCAAAATCATCTGGCTTCTTTTGCTTGTATTACGGTT